CACAGCCATAACACATTGTTTGGTAATGTTAAATGGAGACAGACTCTAAATCCATTATTCTTAGGGTTTGTTTTGTTTTGTCTTGAGATAAGGTCTCACTGTGTGGTACAGGCCAGCCTTGAACTCACTATGTAGCCCAAGCCAACTTTAAGTTCATAATCTTCCTGCCTCAGTGTCCCAGTGCTGGGATTACAGGCATGCGCCACCACACCTCCTAAATCTATTTCAGACATTGTTATTACTATTCTGAATGGAAAACCACCAGGGAGTTCTTATAGGGGGTTACCTATCCTATGAGTGAACTTCTGCTGGCCAATTAAAAATAATGTAGTCATGGCTAGGAATTTAGCTTAGTGGCACTGTCTGCCTGACAAGCGCAAGGTCCTGAGTTTGATCCCCAGTACCAAAATAATAGTATAATGATAATAATGTGTTAATGCTTGATACATAGTCTGAAAAATAATTGAAACATGCCCTACAGAAAAAAAAACATATACCTTTCTCACAAGAGAAACCATGACTTTAACGAATGTATTGGATAAATTTAAACTTTGTTTTACATCATGCGCTACAAATTGAAAAGATTTGTGATACTAAAAATTACAGCCTAGTTGATGGTGTATCCTGTAATCCTAGGAGGCTGACCATCCTGGACGATTTAGCCAGACCCTGTCTCATAATAAAAAAATGAAATGAGGGACAGGGATTTAGCTCAGTGGTTCTGCCACCTGCCTTGCAAGTGCAAAGACCTGAGTTTGATTCCCCAGTACCCCCCAAAAAAAGAGATGGGCTGAAGATGTAGGTCAGTGTAGAACACTTGCCTCGCATGTGTGAGCCCCTAGGTTCAATCCTCAGTGCAGAACCTCCAAAAAAATAAACTATAGAGAACTCTTTAAGTTATAACTAGGGCTGGGGAAGGATAGGAGAGAAGAGGGGGTGAAGATATTTAGAAATCAGTGTTTATTGCCATGAAAATACAATCTTGACTTTTTAAAAATGTCTTAAAAAATGTGTAATAAAGATTACATTTAAAAATGATATTCTGCATGAACTGAATTTTCCCAAGTAGGTTTATCTAGTGAAGTAAATTTATTCATCGAGACCATTTACTCCCTGGGCATGGTGGTGCACTACTGTTACCCCAGCATTTGGGAGGAAGAGCCACAGGATCACAAGTTGTCTCCAAAAAAAAAATTAGCATGTGTTATGTATGTATGTATGCTTTTGGTGCTGTTAGGTATCTCTGCACATGTCAACATGTGACTAGCCAGGTGCACTGGTACATGTCTGTATTCACAGCACTCCAGCAGGCTGAGGCAAGAGGGTTACAAATTGGAGGCCCAGCCTGGGCAATTTAGTTACATAGAGCTTCTGAAAATAGAAGGGGCTGTAGATGTAGATCACTGTGAAGGCCTTGAGTTCAGAGCCTTGTATTACAAAACAAAAACCATACGTGTGGCTTCATGAAAAAATTCTTAATGTTCACAACTCTTGGCAAATGTAGTTTCAGTCCATACACAGCTAGCGGGTGATCCTGCAATCAGAACTGTCCTTTTAGGGCCGGGGATTTAACTCAGTGGTTCAGTGGCCTGCCTTGCAAGTGCAAGGACCCGAGTTCAATCCCTGGTACCAAAAAAAAAAAAAAAAAATTGTCCTTTTAGATAATATACACGTGAGTCTCTTTGACTTGGGATTTTAAAATGCAACATTTCAGCCTCTGATTAAAATGTCCACATTTCATAAATGTATTTTAATTCACGTCCTCAATCTGTAATGTATTTTTTAACAAAGCTTGTGAGTCTTCAAGTGGCCTTTGCCTCAGTATGTGTAAGATTTGCTGTGATTCAGCTGGCAATTTCAGATGGAAGTGCAGTTTTGATATGTGGCATTTTATTCATTTTTAAAAAATTGGTACTGACAAGCAATTTTAAGCTCCATTTTATTTTTTAAATTTTAAAAAATGGATTTTCTTCTTTTTTTTTTTTTTTTGGTACCGGGGGTCGAACTTGGGGCCTTGAACTTAGAAGCTTGGCGGCAGAACCACTGACCTAAATCCCCAGCCTGGATTTTATTCTTTTTTGGTTTGTGTTTTGCAGTGCTGGGGATCGAACCCAGGACCTTGTGTATAACAGGCACGATCTCTCCCACAGAGCTACACCCCCAGTCCCAGGAAATGGTTTTTGTACTGTGCACAGGCAACCTTGGTGCACCCTTTGAAAATGCTTTTCCATTTTACCCACATGTAGTGGTGTTAAGCTCCATTTTTTTTAAATTTGTTTGTTTGTTTTTGGTATGTAGCAGGGATCAAATTTAGGACCTTGTGCTTTTGAGACAGGTGTGGTACCACTGAGCTAAATCCCTGGCCCACTCCATTTTATCGCATAAAAGACTCAGAGCCGGGCGTGGTGGTGCATGCCTGTAATCCCAGCACTCAGGAGGCTGAGGCAGGAGGATCACTGTGAGTTGGAGAGAGCCTGGGCTACACAGTGAGTTCCAGATCAGTCTTACTACGTAGTGAGACCCTGTCTCAAGAAAATCATTAGTCTCAAGTAGCCAGGGATTTAGCTCAGTGGTGGTGCCATCTGCCTCAAAAGTGCAAGGACCTGAGTTCAATCCCCGGTTCCCCCCACCAAAAAAAGGCTCAAGTAAACCGGGCATGGTGGCACACCTGTAATCCCAGCACTTGGAGGCTGATATGGGAGGATCATGAGTTCAAATCCACCCTGGGCTAAATAGCAAGACTCTCTGAAGAAAGCCTCAGATCAGCTGCTGCTTAAGATAATCTGTGATGGGCAAGGATGTACATTAAAGATGGCAAGTGCAAGGTCCTGAGTTTGATTCCCAGTACCCCCCCCAAAAAGATAAGATCTGTGAATATTATGTACTGCAAATGTGCTAATAAATGATTAAAAAACTAAAAGATCATAGACGAAGTCTACCTTTTAGGTCTTTACTAAATTCCTTTATTTGGGAAATCAGATAGTTTTTGTTTTGTTTGAGGAAAACCTGTGGGGGCGAACTTAAAGCACCCAGTCATCCTATTCATCTTGCCACATTCACTTACTACCGACCCTACTCAGGAGGTGAGCCCATCTCTTACCGTTCTCTGCACGCACACTTCCTGTGTTGGGCTGTGGCAGTCAAGTGAACAATGGCATCTCAGGGCCTCCTTAATCTTTCTCCACCGCTGGGACTTACTGTGCGGATCCTTTATTGAGAAGCTGATTTGGTGGTGGGGCTGTGTCTTTGCTTCTTTGCAGTGTTAGGGATTGAACCCATGGCCTTGTGCCTGCTAGACAAGGGTTCCACTACTGAGCTATGCACCAGGCCTGGTCTTGCTGAACTACCCAAGCTGACCTCAAACTTGGGTTCCAGCCTCGGCCTCCCGAATAACTGGGACTTGTAGGTGTATTTTTCATGATAAAATCCTGGCTGGCTGTTCTTCCACTTCTGGTGACCCAGTTCCTTTCCTGCATGACAGGAGGAAAAAGGGGAAACGGTGACTAGGGCACACATAAAAGACTTACATTCAATCTGGAATATGGTCACTTTTGTTGTGAGAAAGTTCCACAGTTCTCATTGATGGTCAAAAGCACAAATAGAGGGGCAGGGGATTTAGCTCAGTGGTTCTAGCTCCTGCTTCACAAGCGCAAAGACCCGAGTTCAATCCTGGGTACCAAAAAAAAGCAGAAATACATTTGGCCGGTCTTGCTGTGTGTCCCCTGGTTTCCTCTGGTCTCTTAACAGTGTCCAGGACTCAGCCTGACTCTACTGATTGATTCATCCAAGTGCCAAGTCCCGTTCTCAGGGCCAGGTGTGCCCAGCAGGATACAGGGCTGAGCTCAGTGAAGGAAGGACTTTCCGGAAAATGAGGAACCTTAGTCATCAAGCTAAAGTGCAACCTGTAATCCCACCTGCCCTTGGAGGCTGAGGCAGGTGGGTTTCAACTTGGGCCAACCTAGACAGCTTGAGATTATTTTGATTTTATTTTTTTTTATTATTATTATTTTTTTTTTTTGGTGCTGGGAATCGAACACGGGCCCTTGCTTTTGAGGCAGGCAGCCACTGAGCCAAATCCCTGGCCCCATCTCAAGTTTTTAAATGGCTGGGATGTAACAGTGGTAGAGCACTCGCCTAGCATGTGTAAGGCTCTGGTGCGTTCGATGGAGACCTACAAACAAGCTTTAACTTGATTTTCACTCACTGGGTGATGGTAGAGAATTAGTCCTGTGCTTAGCCGCGTGGTGGCGCGTGTCGGTAATCACAGCACTCTGGGAAGTTGAGGCAGGAGGAGGACTGCAACTCTGAGCCCAGTCTCAGCAATTCAGAGATTTAGCGAGACCCTGTTACAAAATCTAAAAACAAAAAGGGGGTTGGAGATGCAGTTCAGTATAAAGGCCTGGGTTCAATCCTCGGCACGTAAAAGAAAAAGTCAGTCCACGCTGCTCGCTCCAAAGCCGAAGACAAAACACGCGCGACCTGGAGGTGGGAGCGCGGAGCCGAGGCGCGTGGCCCCTTCGTGACGCCGTAGGCGCGGCTGGCGGTTAAGCCGCGAGCGTGGCGGCAAAGGCT